CTTATTTTTCTCAACTCCATTGTAAAGTGTTTTGAGACATTTTATAATCATTTTTCTGAATTCTTTCTCAGGTATCTCCAAGGCCTGCCTTCCTTGCAGCATGGATAGAAGGTCTACTTCTGGTTCATTTGTCTCAATATTTTATCTTTTTTCTGTACATGTGCTGATATGGTCATCTGCTTTTGCTTCTTGGGCATGTTTAATGTTTATCTGTGGCCCTAATAATTCATTAAGTATGTGTTTTGGTAATTTTTTATGTTTTCTGATTACCTCCGGGAATATGTGATCAGGATGTGGTCTTCCCTTTTCACACTTCTTATAGCTTAACTCAGAGTAACTTTTTTGAGCCTCAGTTGGGCCTGGGCCTGCGCGGCAGGCCGTTTGGGCCTTGGGCGGGCGGGTTGAGCCTAGGGCGGGCAGTTTGGGGCTCTGGGGGCCTGGGCGTCAGCGACTGGGCTGTAGGTGGGTTGGACCTCGGCTGAGTGGTTTGGGCCTCGGGCGAACGGTTTGGGCCTCTGGGGGCCTGGACGTCAGCGACCGGGCTCTAGGAGTCTTGGGCCTCGAGCAGGTGGTTTGGGCCTCCGGAGGGTGGGTTGGGCCTCTGGGGGCCTGGACGTTAGCGACCGGGCTGCAGGAGGGTTGGGCCTCTGGGGGCCTGGATGTCAACGACCGGGCTGCAGGAGGGTTGGGCCTCAGCCAGGTGGTTTGGGCCTCGGGCGGGTGGTTTGAGCCTCTGGGGGCCTGGACGTCAGTGACCAGGCTGCAGGAGGGTTGGGCCTCAGGCCGGTGGTTTGGGCCTCAGGCGGGTGGGTTGGGTCTCAGGGGCACTGGGCCTCAGCAGCCTGGCTGTGCGTCGGGTTGGGCCTTGGGGGCCCTGGACCTCGGCGGCGGCGGGTATGTGATTTGGGCCTTGGTTGGGCCTGGGCCTTTGTGACCAGTCTGTGGGCAGGTTGGGCCTCAGGGCAGGCCTTGGCCTCAGTGGGAGTGTCTGGGCCTTGGGCGTTCCTGAGCCTCTGTGGCTTGGCAGAGGGCTGGTCTAGGCTGGGGTTGTAGAGGGCTGGGGTAATGGCTGAAGGGAGGCAGTGTCCGTATTTGATGACGGAAAGAATGCCTCTCTCAGTCTCTCTGCACCGTGGGTACCCCAATTTTCCTGATATCTGTGCCGATATCCCTATTTGTTCAGCTTTGTTATCCTTTTCTCTGGAAATGCAGCCTCCTAAGTGGGGTTGCTCTAGCCCTGCATTCCAGTGTCTGCAGGGGGCAGAGGCACTTGCCGGCGCAGGCACGGGTGTGGAAGCAGGAGCCGCGTGCAGGCAGGCAAAAGCTTAAAATACCTATAATTCGTCAGCAATTTGATCTTTTAAAAAAACGAGTTCAGACTGTTGAAATATAAGATCTTATGTTTGTTCAAAGGCTGTCTGTCTGCTAGACAGAGGTTGCCTATGTGCGAATCTGCCTCTTTTCCCTGGAGACTTCCTTACCTGGGTTGCTTGGTCAGGGAAGCACCGCGTCACCCTATGCTTTACATTTTAAATAATTTCACAATGATTATTTCTACAATTTTAGGTATATTACAGCTAATACTGACACAGAAGAACAAAATTTTCCAGTCCCTAAGGCATTCAACACACACGTAGAGAAATTAAACTTAGAAGCCCTTCTTCAGAAAGCAGATAATTTACGGATGAGTGAGTCCAGCAAGATGGAGAGTTTTGAATTACTTTGTGACCATAAAGAAAAGGTAAGAGATACGTAGCAACCTTTTTGTATTGTTTTTAGTTGGAATTTAATATACTATCCCATTCATATTGTAACCATAACTTTTATTTCACAGTTTATACTAGCTTAATTTGGGGCATATAATTTTTCTATAAAATGATTGTAAAAATGTTTAAAGTATAAACGTTAAGTATATTAGGCCTAGGCTCTGTAGGATAAGCACTAGACTGCTAACCACCAAGTGGGTGGTTCGAGCCCACCAGCTGCTTTGCAGAAAAAAAATGAGGCTTTCTGCTCCTGCAAAGATTTACAGCCTCCGAAACCCTATACACGGTTGCTATGAGTTGGAACTGACTCGACAGCAAGAAACAACAAAGACAGAAAAATGAAAACCCAGAGCTCTGATTATACAGATTTACATTTATCTGATTTCCTATTAATTTTATATATTCAGTAAATATTTTATCACAGATAAGTAATGGCCAATTATGCCAAGGCACATAATACTGTGTCTCTGATGGAAGATAAACTGCATTTTAACTTTTCTGCCTTATAGCTATCAATACAACAGCAATCAATATATAAAACTCTTTTTACTACTAGTCATTTTTTTGTTAATGTTGGGCCTGAATTGGAACAACTATAACCACTCTCAAAAAGAAAAGAAAAATAACTGTTTCTCATATCCCAAGGAGAGATAAATGTTTTGTCTTTTTGTGTACAAGTTAAATATTTAGCAGTTCTAAACATAGTGTTTGAAAGTAGTTTAAAAAAAAAAAGACAACTACAGTATTATATTGTTAATTTAAATAATAAATGTGGCTATTCTTTTGAATGGAGTTTTGGTGTGGCACTGTGGGTTAATGCACTGGACTGCAAGGTCGGTTTGAACTGTAAACCATCATCGGTTTGAACTGTAAACCAACAAAGTTGTGGTTCAAGCTCACAGTCACTCCTCGGAAAACCTATGCAGGATTACTATGGATTGGAACCTAGTCAATGGAACTTAACAGTAACAACAACTCTTTCAAGTAGAAGTAATCCAACTACTGCTCTTACTTGAAATGTTCATTGAGGTGTCATAGAGGCAGATAACTTAGGAAGGAAAACAAGACTAGGCTGCTACAGCCCAGAACGAACAGTGGTTTAATCAAGGTTTGGTGCATTGTGGTCTCTAGCAATTCTTCCTTCTATACAGCTAAAGATAGTATCAGAATGATAATAATTAAAATCAAAATCCAAGTACAATACTTTATTAGGTCACATTTCTTAACCATAAAGATTTTGAATTTTCTGGTAGCATAGTGGTTACAAATCGGACTGCGAACCTCAGGGTCAGCAGTTCGAAACTGCCAGCTGTTTCGCTGGAGAAAGATGAGGCGTCTGCTCCCGTAAAGATTTACAGCCTCGGAAACCCTGTACAGAGTCGCTATGAGTCGGAACCGACTCCACGGCACATAACAACAACAATATTATGTACAGGAGGCTTCAAAAGTTCATGGGAAAATGGAACTAAAAGATAATTGGATTTTTTTCCACAAATTTTTCTAAGTGCCATCATATTTATATATGGGATAAGCATTGTTCTTATAACTGCAAGGTCAGCATTTCAACCTCACCACCTGCTCCAAGGGAGAGAGATGAGGCTGGCTGTTCCTGTAAAGATTTACAGTCTCAGAAACTATACACAGTCACTGTGAGTTGGAATCAACTTGATGGCTGTGGGTTTGATTTAGCTTTTATAGAATAATCTATAATTATAAATTTACCTGTCTGAATTTTAAACGTTGCTCTGGAAAACATTTCACATTGTGCTCAGGTTAATAAGTTAATCAAGGTGCAAATCAGTGTGCAATTCTATTTTCTTTTCAGTTTAAAGATGAAATAGAGTTTATTTGGCGGTTAGCTCGCGCTTATGGGGATATGTATGAGTTATCTACAAATGCACAAGAAAGAAAACATTATGCTAATATTGGTAAGTTTTGGGTTTTTTTTTTTAAAGATTGGTGTCCTCAAATGGCAATTATGATCTTCAATGAATCACTAATGAATTTGGATGAAATTATCTTAAAATTATTGTATTTAATCTATTTTAATATATCCTGGTTCAAAAATAGAGCCTTAGTGGTGCAATGGGCTAAGGTCAGCAGTTCAAACTTGCTCCAAGGGAGAAGGATGACACTGTCCACTCGGTAAAGCTGTACTGTTGGAAACCCTTAGGAGCAGTTTTACTTTGCTCTCTAGGATCACAATAAGTTGAAATGAACTCGATGGCATTTGGTGGGTCCAAACAATACACACAATCTTAGGACAGAAAAAAAGAATTTTTTTTTTTTTCCCAGAACTGAATTATAGTTCCTTATCAAAAAAAGAATATTTTATAATGTTGTTTTCAGGTGTTTTTAAGTCGATTCCTACTCCTAATAACTCCTACTCCTAATAATCTGAAAAACATGGCATCAGGATTAGAGGAAGACTCATTAGCAACCTGTGGTATGCTGATGATACAACCTTGCTTGCTGAAAGCGAAGAGGACTTAAAATACTTACTGAGGAAGATCAAAGATCAAAGCCTTCAGTATGGATTTCATCTCAATGTAAAGAAAACAAAAACCCTCACCACTAGACCAATAAACAACATTCTTAGCAACGGAGAAAAGATTGAAGTTGTCAAGGATTTCGTTTTTCTTGGATCAACTATCAACATTCATGGAAGCAGCAGTCAAGAAATCAAATGACATATTGCATTAGGCAAATCTGCTGCACAGACCTTTCTAAAGTGTTGAAGAGCAAAGCTTGAGGACTAAGGTACATCTGACTCAAGCCATGGTATTTTCAATCACCTCATACATGCTAAAACTGGACAGTGAATAAGGAGGATTGTAGAAGAATTGATTATTTTGATTTATGGTGTTGGAGGAGAATATTGAAAATGCCATGGGCTGCCAAAAGAACCAACAGATCTGTGTTGGAAGAAGTGTAGCCGGAGTGTCATTGGAGGCCAAGATGGCCAAACATCATCTCTCATACTTTGGACCTATTGTCAGAAGGGACCAGTCGCTGGAGAAGGATATCATGTTTGGTAAGGTGGAGGGTCAGAGAAATAGAGGAAGACCCCCAGTGAGATGGATTTGCAAAGTGGCAGCATCACTGAGCTCATGCGTGGCAACAATTGTGAGGTTGGCTCAGGATCGGGCAGTGTTTCGTTCTGCTGTGCATAAGGTTGCTATGAGTTGGTACTGACTCAATGGCACTTAGCAACAACAACAATAATAATTTGATAAAGGAGCTCTGGTAGCATAGTGGTTACAAATTAGGCTGCTAACCTCAAGGTCAGCAGTTCAAAAGTGCCAGCAGTTCTGTGGGAGAAAAATGAAGGTTTCTGCTCCAATAAAAATGTACAGCCTTGGAAACCCTGTACACATTCACTGTGAGTCAGAACTGAGTCTTTGACACATAATCACCGTCACCAATAATCTGGTAAAATAGCCCTATGTGACAGAGAAGAACTGATCCATAAGGTTTTTTAGGACACATTAGTGGGGACAGATTGCTAGATCTTTTCTCCTGCAGAACCACATAGTGGGTTCAAACCACTGACTTCTCAGTTACCAGCTGGAGCACTTAACCATTGCATCACCAGGGCTCTGTACATGTTAGAATAGGCAGCTGGAAAAAACTCAACTTTCAGTTTTAAAAGTTATAAAATCCCAGGACAAACAAGACTTGAAGTGGTAGTATTAAAGAAACACAGAAGGCAGTTGTCTTTAGCCGTAGTCCTTCACCAGAGTTAAAGTAAAACACCTTCCTTCGAATATTACTTTAGTGAACACAAAGAAATAACTTCTTAAATTGTAGTTACTATGTTTTGTTTTTGTTTTAGTTTAATTGATCTTGATAAAACAAGACTAGCCCTAATGTGGGTATTGGGAAAGAAGGTAGGAATATGGTAGTTTTGATGCAGTATTATTCAAATAAGCATAGGTATGAAGAAACAGAGAAGTGTTCTTAAAGGAAATTGTAGAATATTAAAATAGTGTGTAAATAGGATGGAAGAGGTTATGATGGGAGGGTGGGGTTGATGTTGGGAAGTTTGTTTTAGAGATAAGTAACACTTTACCTCTGGTAGCGTAGTGGTTACGAATCGGGCTGCGAACCGCAAGGTCAGCAGTTCGAAACTACCTGCTGCTCCGCGGGAGAAAGATGAGGCGTTCTGCTCCTATAAAGATTAACAGCCTCGGAAACCCTGTGGAGGGTCGCTGAGTCGGAACCAACTCCACGGCACACAACAACAACAACAACAACACTTTACCCAGGCAAAGTCACTTCAGATGGCTATTTTTAAATGGAGTAGAAGTTTAACACATGAGATGGTGAAAATGGAAAAGAAATGAACTGGAGGAAGTTCAGGGACAAGAATGGAGTTTAGGATTGGAATAAAGTATATCTGAAAAAGAGAAAAAGTTAAGGTTTAATGTGCCAAAGAAAAAGGAGTGAAGCCTCAGATGTGTAAGTGTTCATTCAGATACTGAAATACATTTTTTTAAAAATCCTAAAGAATGGAGCTGTATGATTTCAAACTTTAAAAAAAAAATCCTGATTTATGAAGATAATCTCAACCACTTATTTAGAAAACTATTTTGCCGGTCATTGGATAATTTAGTCAAAGTGGAAAAAAATGGAACAAGAGAAATGGATGAATGAATTATACAAGATGACAACTTCGGAAATTTGGAGAAAGATTTTCAGAATGCACTTCAGTATTGTTGCAAGCACTTTGATTTTTCTAGTCATTAGACCAGAGGTCCTGGTGTGGCCCAGTAGGATAAGCACTGGACCTCATCATGAATGGTCTGGACTATGAGGTTGGCTGTTCAAACCCACCTCAAAAATTCTACATTTGTTAACTCCAATCCATAGTGAACAAGTCAACAGCACTTAACAAGACCGGGGTGGGGAACCTTTTTCTGCCAAGGGCCATTTGGATATTTATAACCTCACTTATTATAAATTTATGTTGCTATGTAAAAAGCTCCTAGATTCATTGAATTTCAGCCCCGCCTGTCCCTGTCATACCTTGGCAGGGCCAAACCACAGAATTTCGGGAGTTTATACAGCCTGCAGGCCGGTTGTTCCCCACCCCTGCATCAGACAGACTTATACCTAAAATAATTACATTAGTAAAAGCTAATCTGAAATGTAGCAGAATGATTCAGGCAGTCATTTATGTCCTAGAGCCTCTCCTCTTCATTATTGTGAATGATGAGGAGTGGACTTCTCTGGGAAGCCTTCCCTCACCCCTACTTTGCTTTGCTTTTTACTTTTCCTTTTTCGTTGTTTGTTTATGTACCTGCTTGCTGCCTCTTGGACTATGAGCTCTTAAGAGGTCAAAGATTATGTCATGTGATTTTTAATCTCAGAAGCTCACGTGACGTGGCAATCGATTACAAAATTTTTATCATGATTTTAAATACTTATAATACTTGGATGACTTTCCTTGTACTTGGCTCAATCCCTTTGACTTAAGTGGGTCTCAAACGTGAGTGTACCGCAGAATAATAAAGGCTCACTGAAACACAGATTGCTGGGCCCCACTTTCAGGAGTTCTCATAAGTAGGTCTCCTGTGTGGCTGAAAATGTGTTCTTCTAACAAATTTTAATACTTACGCTTCTGGTCCTGGGACTATACTTTGAGAACTACCGACTTAATTAAAAAATGTGCCCCCTACCAACTCATTTAAAAGTACTAAGTATGAGTATATTTATTTTTCAGGAAAAACTTTCGGTGAAAGAGCTATTACTAAAGGACCCATGAATGGCTATTGTCATCTGTGGTAAGTATACATACCAATATATTCTGGTCTCCGTGGCTGCTAATGAGATGTCAGCTATTAATCCTGTTGTAGTTATTTGGATATGATGAGTCCTTTTTTTTTTTTAATTGGTCTTCCAGCATTTTGAGTGTAATATGTCTGGGTGTGTATCTTCTTGCATTTATCCTACTTGTTTTATAAGCTTCTTATTATGTGAAGATAAATGCTTTTCATTAATGTTTTATAGCTTTCAGTACATAAGGAAGCTTCAGAAAGTTCATGGGAAAATTCCAGTTTCTTTCAATGCTATTTTTCCTTGAGTTCTTTGAAGCCACTAGTGCAAGTCTTGAATTTATTTTGTTAAATTTATTCCTATTTTGTTATTTTTGATACTCTTGTGAATGGGAGTGTGTTCTGAATTTCATTTTAGGACTGTTCATTGCTATCATTTAGAAATACAATGCATTTTACTACATGTATATAGGTCATTGTTTTAGCCCTGTGATGTTGATAGGCATGTTTATTAGTTGTAGTGTTGTTGTTTTTTTTGTAGGTTACTTGGAATTTTCTAAATATAGGATCATGCTATCTAGAGTCCATGAGATTTGAAAATTCTGTTCTGCATTTTCTCCATTTTGCTCAGTATTCTTTAATAGAATCTTAGATCAGAATGTTCAGTAATGGTAGTCAGTCATCCTGTTCCTCTTGTCAACATGGCAAAGGAAGTAGTCGTTCATGGAGGCAACCAACCACACACTCAATTTGCTCCTTCAGTACCTGATTCTCCTCCTTTCTTTGTTGCTTCAGGTGATTGGAGACCATTTTTTTGTACCTTGGATAGCTGCTTGCTAACTTTTAAGAAACTATTCACTATGCAGCAAAATAGGAAATCGAAGTACTGAGAAGCAATACTAATTTTACATTTATTTTTGAACAATAACTTTCCTTTATATAGAATTCCTGTTGACTTGTTTTTCTTTCAGAATTGTAAATATATTCTGGTTTTCATGGCTTCTAATGAGATGTCAGATATTAATTCTGTTGTAGTTCTTGGATATGATGAGATTTTTCTTTTGCTTTTTTTTTTTTTGTCTTCAGCATTTTGGCTATGGTATGTCTGGGTGTGTATCTTCTTGCATTTATCTTCTTGTTTTTATAAGTATCTTATTATGTGAAGATTCATGTTTTTCATCAAACTTGGGAAATTTTTTAGGTATTTGGTATCCCTGTTATGCATTTACTGGTGTGCTTAATAAACTAAATAATTCAACTCAAGACAGAGTAGAAGAACTTTATAGGGTCTCCAAGTCTAAAGTTACTGAAGCAGCTTGCCTCTTCTTTCTCCCACAGAACTACAGGTGGGTTTGAACCACCAACCTCGAGGTTAGCAACTCAATTATTAACCCATTGTACTACCAGGACTCCTTGGTGTGTCTGATAGTGTACCACATTTATTTTCATTTTTTTTTATGGTTTGCCAGATTATATTCTATCTTTTGTCCTATTTTCCAGTTTACTGATTTCTTTCTTCTGCCAGCTCAAATCTTTTTAGAGCCCCTGTAGTGAATATTTCATTTCTTATACTTTTCAACTCCAGAATTTCCATGTGGTTTTTAAAAAGTTCTAGCTTTTTTCTGTTATTCACTGTATAATGAGTTATTGTTATAGACTTTCCTTTAATTCTTTAACCATAATTTACTCTAGTTCTTTAAACATTTATTTATAATAGCTGGTTTGAAATCTTTGCGTGCTAAGTCCAACATCTTGTCCCCTTCAGACATAGTTTCTTTTTTTCTTTTCCCTGTGTATGGGTCATAATTTTCCTATTTATTTTGCTATTATCATTTTTTTTAAAAAAAAATTGAAAACTGTGCATTTAGAATGATATGTTACAGAAACTCTGGGCTCTGACTCTCCCTAAACAGCAGGGATTATAATATTGCTGGATTTCTTTTTGGTTTGTTTATTTGATTTGTGACTGCCTTTCTGAAATCTGCAGAATCCATTTCCTCCCGCACTATGTAACTACTGATGACTCTTCTTGTTCTTTTCTCTCTTGTTTTTGTTGGTAAGCCTGGCTTCTATGATCACCCTGGGTTGGCCAGTAGTCAGAAGTTGAGCCATCATTCAAAACTTTTCCCTTTGCTACTGGATCTGTGTGTAGCTTAGGGAATGCATTAAAAATTCAGGCATTTTGCAAGCCTGGTAGTAGTAGTGGGTTATGCATTGGACTGCTAACCACAAGGTCATCAATTTGAATCACTAGCTACTCCACAGAAGAAGGATGATGCTTCTGCTCCCGTAAAGATTTACAGCCTTAGAAACCTTTTATAGGGTCACTTTGAGTCTGAACCATCTTGAAGGTACACCACCACTGACACCACCATTTACCCTGACTTTTACTTTCTTCAAAGATACCAAATTTAGTTCAAATGACTTAGGACCCTCCCCAGTCTCTCCTCAGTAAGCATTTGGTGTTGTGCCACCACCGTGGGTAAGTAGACAGTTATCTAGGTCCATTGTGGCTTTCTCATTCCATGCTAAATGTTTACCTGACCTAACCTCTATCTAGACCTCAGACGAGTTTTGATGGTTGTTAAGTGCCTGTCAAGTTGGTTCTGACTCATAGTGACCCTGTATAGGGTTTCCAAGGAGTGGCTGGTGAATTTGAATCTCAGATCTTGTGGTTCAAATCAACCTTGCAGTCCAGTGCTTATCCTACAAGGCCATGTCAGGACTCCCTTAGCTTTTTTGTTTTTTTTTTTTGCAATTGTCATCCTATTGTCTTTAGCAATGCCTCTGGATTTGGGGGATTGCAAATAAGTCAGCCTACTGCAGGTCCTGCTTTACCCTGATTAAACATCTGCAGCACGGAGCTATAGAGGTGAGGGAATGAGTGTTTTAGCATCAAGCAGAAACACTACAGACTCCCATAGTTGTTACGAAAGTCCAGCCGATTTTCTTGAATAAACACATCTGAATTCATTGTATACCTTTAGTCAATTTCCACAGTCCTTGAATGGCTGGTTTTACCAGCGTCATCCAGTTTTATTGCATACTGAGTTGTAGATTGGCTGAGCATCTCAATTAGTTATTGCATACATTAAATACGATTTGCTTGTTCAGCTCATTTACATATTCCAAGTGCATACATTAAATACGATTTGCTTGTTCAGCTCATTTACATATTCCAAGTGTTTTAAAACACTTGATTAATGACTATCTGGCAGAATTCTGTGAAATCCAGTTCCTCCCACACTAAAATACTGATTTTTACTACAAAATCAAGAAATAACTCAATTTGAGAAACCAAGAATGAAAACATTAAAAATAAGTAGGGCTATGAATCTAGGTAGCGTAGTGGTTACGAATCGGGCTGCGAACCTAAAGGTCAGCGGTTCGAAACTACCAGGCGCTCCGCTCATCGAAAGATGAGGCTTTCTACTCCCGTAAAGATTTACACCCTCGGAAACCCTGTACAGGGTCGCTATGGGTCGGAACCGACTCGATGGCACTTAACAACAACAACAACAATGAATCTAGGAATCATAAAAAATAAAATAATTCCTTATATTGAATTTTTTAAAAATAAGTTGTTATTGTGAACTGAGTGATAGTTTACATGGGAGAACATTGGTTTTACACTCATTCTATCATATTTCCTTCCATTGCAATGATTACAATCCCCTCTGTGCATCATTCACCAGTATTTGCTTCTAGTCCCTCTGATTTTTTTTTTTTGGATGTACACAAAAAAACTCAGGAATATATATTATTTAAATGACCAAAGGGCTCATTCTGCAAACCTGTCTCCTGGCTTCCAGCATATAGTCTTTCTCTTTCCATGATTCCTCATCTCTGCATCTCTGGTGTCGCTGCTTCTCTAGATAGGGTCCCACATTCTGTTCGTGCTCTTCTCCCTTGATGGTCCTAGGGTCCTCTGTTTCAGGACTGTAAAATTACGCCCCCATTTTTGTTACAAAACTTCTACCTTTCTAATTGTTACAGTCGCAATTAGTCATAATAACAATTATTCACTATTGAATCATACGAATCTTATCCCCTTCTCCTTTCAGTGGGGTGTCTACTTTCCCCCATACACTCTGAAACTAAACTCCCTCTTGAAAATTTGTAAGTCAGTCACTTTGTGCCTTTATAGTCCCACCCCCCATTTTAGGTTTATATTGCATTTTTAAAATAAATTATTAGATTGTATTATTAGTCACTTCAAATTTATGCTAGTGAATTATTTCCTTAGTTGCAGTTTTTATTTTTGTAATACTTGAAAAGAGGAAAATTAGAGCCAAGTGATGCTTCATACCTTAGAAATATTGCAAGTTCAGTTCCAGGCCACCACAGTAGAGTGGCAATCATAATAAAGCAAGTCAAGTCACACACAGTTTTTGGTTTCCCAGTGCACACACTTTATAACCTATAAAGTGTGTTAAGAGTATTGTGAAAATTTTGCAGTATTGTGAAAACTACCAAAATGTGATTCAGAGACACAAATTGAGCACATGCTATAGAAAGTGGTGCCAATAGACTAGCTTGATACTATGGCACTACACACCTTGAATTTGTTTTAAAAAAAAAACAATGCTGAAGTGACTGCCCTGGGGAAGGGATAATCACAAACTAGTCTTAAAAGGGAGTGTGTGGGAAATGAGCCAGAGCATCTGTTCCAGAATTAAGTTCTCATTCAAATGTGATCTGACAGAGGATCAATCCTCAGGAAACAGGCTTGGCAGGATCTAGGCAAGGTAGCAGGTCACAGCATTCTAGGAATGTCAGGTACCCAAGAGACCCCAAGCAGGGTGATTAGGCTCTGCGTAGGTTACATCCAGTTTTTATCATTTAATCCAAATCTTTTCATTTTCTTAGTAACCATTTTTTATTACTTCAGTCCTTTTATAAATTCTACAGGTTTAAAAAAAAAAAAAAGCCATTTGAAATACATGAAAGCTCAAACAAAAGGAATTTCATGTTTTAGATGAGTATAGGTGACTGTCTTTGGAGTAAAA